CTGCAAGCTCCCGCTTCTCGCGGTTCCATGCAGTTCCTCCCTGCCCCTCAGCCTCCCGAGTAGCTGGGACTAGGGGTTTCACCGTGTTAGCCAGGATGGTCTCGATCTCCTGACCTCATGATCTGCCCGCCTTGGCCTCCCAAAGTGCTGGGATTGCAGGCGTGAGCCACCGTGCCTGGCCAAATTTTTTATTTTTAGTAGAGACGGGGTTTCTCCATGTTGCCCAGGCGTCTCGAAATTCTGGACTCACGTGATTGGCCCACCTCAGCCTCCCAAAGTGCTGGGGTTACAGGTATGAGCCACTGTGCCCAGCCAGGAACTGCTTTTTGTTTTGTTTTTTAGACAAAGTCTCACTCTGTCGCCCAGGCTGGAGTGAAGTGGCGCAATCTTGGCGCACTGCAAGCTCCGCCTCCCAGGTTCACGCCATTCTCCTGCCTCAGACTCCCGAGTAGCTGGGACTACAGGCGCCTGCCACCACGCCCGGCTTACTTTTTGTATTTTTTAGTAGAAATGGGGTTTCACCGTGTTTGGATGGTCTCGATCTCCCGACCTCGTGATCCACCCACCTCGGCCTCCCATAGTGCTGGGATTACAGACATGAAATTGCCCAGCCCAGAAATTGCTTTTTAACCACCTGCTGCTGGGTACTGCCACTTGGATGCCCAGGTCCACGTTAATAATTACAGAATGGTGGTTAACACAGCATCCTCATCACCTGAGCTCTGTCCCGTTAAGAGCCTTCCCGCTTCCTCCCTTTTTTGCCTCCCAGCCAGAATGATCTGTGCCTTTCACAAAGACCATCTCTGTGCATCCATGCTGCCGCCTCAGCACCACTGCGAGAAACTGCCTCAGCCACTGTCATCCACCAAGGCTCCAAAGTAACCCTCTGTGAAGCTTTGCCAACCACCTCCTTTGGGTCCTGCTAACCTACCCTCTGTTTCATGACACTTAAGACACTGGGAGCTAAGAGGTCATTGGTATGTCTGTCTCTCCCATGGACTAAGCTGTCAGAGAACAGAGACTGTCTCATTCCTGGCTACCAACACCTGCCAGACAGCAGGAACTCAATAAAAATGGGGTGAACTGACCTGCTGGCTTGACTGGTCAGTGTTTACCTGAGCAAGATGATGTCATTTGACTCACCCCAGCGCCCCACTGCCTCTCAGGCACTAACCTTGTTCTTACGTCCATCAATCTCAAAGAAGGAGATGGTGCCCTTGCGGTAAATCTCATTGCCTGGAGGATGTCGTAGGTCGCACTTGGTCTGGAGAAGAGAGGACGGTCAGGAACAAGGGCAACTTGGAGGGTGCTGGGAAGGCAGCCTCCCTGGACCCCTCATACCAAGTGACGCTGAAGACACTTGAGGCTACGGCCGTACTTGAGGCAGAACTCGCACAGGTAGAGAACAGGCAATGTGGTGAGCTCCTGTGGGTACGGGGAGAAGTACCACGGCTTGAGACGGTGCCGGCCCAGCTCAATGCACTCGATGTTCTTCATCCGGGTGACGATGTCGTCGTGGCTTCGGTCAGACACCAGGCTGCCAGTCATGCGTGGTGCTGATGGTATTCCATCTGAGCTGTCCTGGGAGTCCTGCCCAGGGCCAGTGGAAAATACCAGGTTAGAAGAGACAGCTCAGCAGGACACCACAGCTCACAGCCCTTTGACAGGTTTCCTGCAAGCCTAACAGCAACCCTATGGGGGAGGTACCATGATCCCCAATTTCCGGATAAAAAACCTGAAACCCTAAGGGATTGATGTGGAAAAGATCACTGAATGACCCTTGTTTTTGAGATGGAGTCTCACTCCGTCGCCCAGGCTGGAGTGCAGTGGCATGATCTTGGCTCACTGCAACCTCTACCTCCGGGGTTCAAGCAATTCTTCTGCCTCAGCTTTCTGAGTAGCTGGGATTATAGGCGCCTGCCACTACGCCTGGCTAATTGTTGTATTTTTATTAGAGACAAAGTTTCACCATGTTGGTCAGGCTGGTCTCGAACTCCTGACCTCAGGTGATCTGCCCGCCTTGGTTGGCCTCCCAAAGTGCTGGGATTACAGGTATGAGCCATGGCACCCAGCCCCAATGACTCATTTGAACCATGTTCTGCCTGGCTCCTAATCCCACCAACACTAGCCCCACCTACCACCCCTTCTTTATTTTTAAACTCATCACTAACTCTCCACCCTGCTTGCATCCCTTCCTTTTCACCCAGCTCCTTCTGTTGCTCCCCAGACCCACCTCATCAGTGCCCAAACAATTCGATTTTCGCTTCCGTCCTGGCTGGGCTGCCACTGCCCTACGGGCTGCTCCATTCTGCAGATATAGTAGTAAAAGAAGGGATGGCTGTGAGATGAGCCTGAAAAAGGCCACCAGAGAGTAGAAGAGAGAAAGGGAACAAGAAATGGTTTGGGAAACTCACCTGGGGAAAAACCGAGGCTGGGGCTGTCTCGCTGGGCACTGGAGTTGCTGGTGAAACCACCTCCACCTTCCGTTTCTGCAGAGAGAAACCAACAAAGGTGGGTCAGAAGGTAGAGAAGGTGGGACCTGAGAAGAAAGCAAGGTCCCTGGAATTGCTGAGGGTACCGTTGAGCGGTGGTTGGGCTGCAGGCAGGAGCTGGAGGAGAGCGGCTGGTCAGGCTCGCCACCGGGAATGGCCTCCCGCTCCTTGGGCAGGTTGAAGCGGAGTGTGATCTGGACCGGGATTGGCAAGGTCTTCCCGCTTGCCTGGGCCGAGGCCGGCTGTAGAGATAGGTCCAGGGTCTTCCTCTGGGGCGGGGATGGCAGTGGAATGGGGAAGGGGAACAGGGGTCCCTCAGCTCAAAATTATCAAACCCCACCCTCGCCTTCTGAAGGACACAGGACTAGCTACTGGACTCTGGGAGCTACATGTGCAATTCGGCCCCCATCCTTTGCAAGATGAAGTCAGGGTGAGAGGGAGCCGCCTACTGCCCATCCAGGAGCCCCTAATGCCAACAGATAAGAGAAACACGAGGCAGGAGAGAAGAGGTGAAGTGGGGGACCTACTCACCACCTCTCTCTCTGGAGAGCCGGGACGGGACCCAGGAAGTCCGTTCTTGGTGGGGGTCTTGGCCTCTTTCTTCGGGAACTGGATCTTCTTTAGGTCCAGCCGCTCGTGCGTCACCCATTCATCCAGACGTTTGTTGACTGCAGCAGTGGGGATGGCTCAGGACAGAATGCCAAAGACTGTTCCCCAACCCTACCCTGATGCCCCACCTCAGGCCCAGAACTCACAGTCAATGTAATGGACGTAGAAAAGCTTCCGGCCACTGATGTCCTTCACGCTCAGGATCTCGGCCAGGGCTATGGGAATAGCATACGCAGGGGCCTTAGACGGGCCGGGCCAGGCTATGAGACTCCACCCTTCCACGACCTGAACTCCACCCCAAGGCTGGATCCCTAAGCTCCAGCACTTAGAAGGTCTCTCCTAAGCCTCCTTCAGTCACTACTGCCACCCCTTTCCAGGCCCCGCCCTGTACCTCTCGGAGCAGCTAAGAGCCACGCCCCTTCATGGGAGTATCTGCGCCCCGCCCGCCCCATAATTCCAGAGGCCCCTCCCCATCCCGGGGGTTCAGTTGACTCCCTCCCGCCCCTCGCCCTCAGGTTCCTTAGCCCCGCCCCCCAACGTCACTCACGCCACTCATCTTCGTTGTCCTGGTTCCGCCGCAGCACGGGTAGGCGGCAGCCCTCGATTATCTCCCCCTGGGGAGACAGCGCGGCGCCAGGGTCGGCTACTGGGGGGCCTCGGGCTCTACCCACCTCCCCTGGCTCCCTCCGCCCCGCCCCGGGCACCGGACTCACCACCTCCGCCATCTTCCCTCCCTCCACTGCCACTTCCGGCCCCTGTGGGAGACGTCACTTCCGGGACCGAGCCCGCTGTAGGCCCGGGCCTCACGAAGCCCCTGTAGAGGGGGACCTTTGAGAGACACCGCGACCCAGTTGCAAGGGGCAAGACTGCCCCTGTGACTCCTGGGAAAACGGAGTATTACAAGCCTCAGGCCGAGCCCTAGGTGGAAACCCCACAACGTGCACAGCGATTGGAGAACTACTGAGTCTGTCACGTGACGCCCACCGGGTTGCGACGCTGTTCACGTGGGTGCGGAGCGGGTCACGTGGCAATACCGTTTGGGCTTTGACGGAGGGCAGTCCTCGGGCGTCTCCTTGTGGCGGCGGGAGGTGTTGTCGCGAGTGAACTGCGCGCGAGAGACTGGAGAAAGGAAGTGGGCTTAGAGGGGCTCGAACGCTCCCCCAGGTCTGTGGACTTCATTCCGTAGGCAGGAGGACTCAGGGAAGATTTCTAGCTTTATTTCGTGTATTAGGCTTCTTTTATTTTTGAGACGGAGTCTCGCTCTGTCGCCAGGCTGGAGTGCAGTGGCGCCATCTCGGCTCCTTGCAACCTCCGCCTCCCGGGTTCAAGCGATTCTCCTGTCTCCGCCTCCAGAGTACCCAGCTAATATTTGTATTTTCAATAGAGGCGGAGTTTCACCATGTTGGCCAGGATGGTCTGGATCTCTTGACCTCGTGATCCGCCCGCCTCGGCCTCCCAAAGTGCTGGGATTACAGGCGTAAGCCTGGGCGCCCAGCCATATTAGGCTTTTTTTTTGAAACAAGGTCTGTGTCGCCCAGGCTGGAGTGCAGCGGGGGAGGCATAATCTCCGCTCACTGCAGCCTCCGCCTCCCTGGATCAAGTGATCCACCTCAGGCTCCTGAGTAGCTGGGACTACAGGCGCGCACTACCAAGGCTGGCTAATTTTAAAAATTTTTTGCGTCAACAGGATTTGGAGACTGGACATGGTGGCTCACACCTGAAATCCCAGCTACCTCCAGCCTAGTCATGAGAAAAAGATCAGACAAATACCAATTGAGAAACATTCTACAAAATACCCCATGAATACTCCTCAGAACTGTGAAGATGTCACCGGTGGAGGGTGTCCAGATTCTTGGCATCTTAAAGAATTGGACAAAACGGCACGGCTGGGCGCGGTGGCTCACGCCTGTAATCCCAGCACTTTGGGAGGCCGAGGCAGGCGGATCACGAAGTCAGGAGATCGAGATCATCCTGGCCAACACGGTGAAACCCCGTCTCTACAAAAAAAAAAAAAAAAGATACAAAAAATTAGCCGGGCGTTTTGGCGGGCATCTGTGGTCCCAGCTACTCGGGAGGCTGAGGCAGGAGAATGGCCTGAACCCGGGAGGCGGAGTGTGCAGTGAGCCGAGATCATGCCACTACACTCCAGCCTGGCTGACAGAGTGAGACTCTGTCTCAAAAAAAAGAAAAACAAAAAGAAGAAAAAAAGAATTGGTCAAAACGCACAAAGCAAGGAAGGAATGAACGATTTATTGAAAATGAAAGTACACTCCAGTGTGGGGGCCGGCTGAGCATAGGGGCCAGTTACAGGATTTGTTGGAGTTTAAATACTCTTGGTTACTTGGGATACGCCCTGTGTAAATGAAGAGGATGAAGTAAAGTTACAAAGTCATTTAGGGTGTACGCCCTAAGGAGAGGATATTTCCTGTCATAACTGAAATGTGAGTCGGCCGTGTATGTTGCCTGCCTCCAGACCCTATTTTCCTGCCTCAAAGGTGGCTGAACATGGTGGCTTACGCCTGCAATCCCAGTGTTAGCAGGAAAGGGCCTATCCAGACCCCAAGAGAGGGTTCCTGGATCTCACACAATAGAGAATTCAGGGCGAGTCCAGCACTTTAGGAGGCTGAGGCAGGTGGATAACCTGAGGTCAGGAGTTCAAGACCAGCCTGACCAACATGGTGAAACCCCATCTCTACTAAAAATACAAAAATTAGGCAGGCGTGGTGGTGCCCGCCTGTAATCCCAGCTACTCGGGAAGCTGAGGCAGGAGAATCACTTGAACCCGGGAGGTGGAGGTTGCAGTGAGCATGATCACACCACCAGCACTCCAGCCTGGGAACAGAGCAAGACTCCGTCTCAAAAAAAAAAAAAAAAAAAAAAATTCAGGGCGAGTCCATAAAGTGAAAGCAAGTTTGTTAGGAAAGTAAAGGAACTCAATGCTGATTGTTCATTTTTATGGTTTTTGTTTTTTTTTTTTTTTTGAGATGGAGTCTCCCTCTGTCACCTAGGCTGGAGTGCAGTGGCACTATCTCGGCTCACTGCAAGCTCCACCTCCTGGGTTCACACTGTTCTCCTGCCTCAGCCTCCCAAGTAGCTGGGACTACAGGCACCCGCCACCATGCCCGGCTAATTTTTTGTATTTTTAGTAGAGACGGGGTTTCACCTTGTTAGCCAGGATGGTCTCGATCTCCTGACCTTGTGATCCGCCCGCCTCAGCCTCCCAAAGTGCTGGGATTACAGGCGTGAGCCACTGCGCCCGGCCCATTTTTATGGTTATTTATTAATATGCTAAGCAAGGGGTGGATTATTCATGTCTCTTGTTTTTAGACCATACACAGTAACTTCCTGACACTACCATGGCACTGGTAAACTGTCATGGCACTGGTAGGAGTGTGGCAGTGAGGACGACCAGAGGTTGCTCTAGTGGCCACGTTGGTTTTGGTGGGTTTTAGTTGGCTTCTGTACTGCAACCTGTTTTATCAGCAAGGTCTTTATGACCTGTATCTTGTACCACCTGTCTTATCCTGTGACTTAGAATGTCTTAACCCTCTGGGAACGCAGCCCAGTAGGTCTCAGCCTCATTTTACCCAGCTCCTGTTCTAGATAGAATTGCTCTGGTTCATGCACCTCTGACACCAGCATTTTGGGAGGCCAAGGCGGGCAGATCACTTGAAGTCAGGCATTCGAGACCAGCCTGGCCAACGTGTTAAAACCCCATCTCTACTAAAAATACGGAAGTTAGCTGGGCATTTGTGGCATCCGTCCGTAATCCCAGCTACTCAGGAGGCTGAGGCTAGAGAATCTCTTGAACCCAGGAGGCAGAGGTTGCAGTCAGCCAAGATGGTGCCACTGCACTCCAGCCTGGGTGACAGAACGAGACTCTGTCTCAGAAGAAAAAAAGAGGCCGGGCACGGTGGCTCGCACCTGTAATCCCAGCACTTTGGGAGGCCGAGGCAGGTGGATCACAGAGTCAGGAGTTCGAAACCAGCCTGGCCAATATGGTGAAACCACGTCTCTACTGAAAATACAAAAATTAGCCGGGCTTGGTGGCAGGCGCCTGTAGTCCCAGCTACTCGGGAGGCTGAGGCGGGAGAATCGATTGAACCCAGGAGGCAGAGGTTGCAGTGAGCCAAGATCATGCCACTGCACTCCAGCCTGGGCGACAGAGGGAGACTCAGTCTCAATAAATAAATAAATAAATAAAATAAAGAAAGAAAAGAAAAAGATGTTGCTCAGGCTGGCCTCAAACTCCTGAGCTCAAGCAATCTGCCTACCTCAGCCTCCCAAAGTGCTAGGGCCACCGCACCCAGCCGTTGTTTTGTATATTAGGTTTCTTTTTTTTTTTTTGGTCCAGTGGCTCACGGCTGTGATCCCAACACTGGGAGGCAGAGGTGGGAGGATCGCTTCAGCCCAGGAGTTACAGACCAGCCTTGGCAACAGAGTGAGACTCCGTCTCTACAAAAAATTTTTTTTTAATTAGCCAGACATGGCAGTGGCCCTCGCTTGTGTTCCCAGCTACTTGGAAGGCAGAGGAGGGAGGATCGCTTGAGCCTAGGAGTTCCAGGCTGCAGTGAGCCGAGATCATGCCACTGCACTCCACCCTGGGTGACAGAGACAGACCAGGCTGGGACAGACAGACTCAGCACTTTGGGAGGCCGAGGCGGGCGGATTGCCTGACACCGTTCTGTCAATCCAGCTGCTTCAGGATGTTGCCTTGGTCAGACAATGCTGTGTGGAATACCATGAGGGTGCATTCTGTGAGTTCACAGATGGTAGTCTTGGCAGAAGCATTGTGTGCCGGATAGGCAAACCCATATTCGGAGTAAGTGTCTATTCCAGTGAGGACAAACCTCTGACCTTTCCATGATGGAAGAGGTCAAATATAATCAACCTGCCACCAGGTAGCTGGTTGATCACCCCAAGGAATGGTGCCATATTGAGAGCTGAGTGTTGGTCTCTGCTGCCGGCAAATTGGGCACTCAGCAGTGGCCGTAGCCAGGTCAGCCTTGGTGAGTGGAAGTCCAGGTTGCTGAGCCCATGTGTAGCCTCCATCCCTGCCACCATGGCCACTTTGTTCATGGGCCCATTGGGCGATGACAGGGGTGGTTGGGGAAAAAGGTTGAGTGGTGTCCACAGAACAGGTCATCCTATCTACTTGATTATTAAAATCCTTCTCTGCTGAGGTCACCCATTGGTGAGCACTCACATGGGTTACAAATAGTTTCACAGTTTTTGACCAGTCAGAAAGGTCCATCCACATACTTCTTCTACATATTTCTTTGTCACCAATTTTCCAATTATGCTTCTTCCAAGTCTCTGACCATCCAGCCAAACCATTGGCTACAGCCCATGAATCAGTATATAATCCCACATCTGGCCATTTCTCCTTCCATTTGAAGTTCACAACTAGGTGCACTGCTCAAAGTTCTGCCCACTGGGAAGATTTCCCTTCACCGCTGTCCTTCAGGGATGTCCTAGGAAGGGGCTGTAGCGCTGCAGCTGTCCACTTTTGGGTGGTGCCTGCATATCGTGCAGAACCATCTGTCTTCTGCACAGGCCAAATGGGAGAGTTGAACAGGGATGTGGTGGGAATCACCACCCCTGCGTCTTTCAAGTCCTTGATGGTGGCATTAATCTCTGCAGTCCCTCCAGGGATGCGATATTGTTTCTGATTTACTATTTGTCTAGGTAGAGACAGCTCTAATGGCTTCCATTTGGCCTTTCCCAGAATAATAGCCCTCACCCTACCAGTCAGGGAGCCAATGTGGGGGTTCTGTCAGCTGCTAAGTATGTCTACGCCAATTATGCATTCTAGCACCGGAGAAATGACCACAGAATGAGTCTAGGGACCCACCGGAACCACTGGAAGTCAGACCTGAGCAAAAACTCCATTAATTACCTGACCTCCATAAGCCCCTACTTTAACTGGAAGACCAAAATGACGTTTA